CAAATAATGCACTCTCAAGACTTCTCTGCAACTACATATTTTCCTTGTTTATGTTCTCCCTATTGCCTGCGTAGAAGAAGTGAATGGCTAATCAAAGAACCAAAAGAGCAGGGAAATAATAGGCAATCATCATGTCGTCCTCTCTCTGGTTTGGAAGTGATATAAAACCAATTTCCAACAGTCGAAATCTGATGATGAACTGAAGACGGAGACTTTTGGTGGTATGCCAAATAGAGACTGTAAAAGTGTCATGAAGAAATCGGATGAACATAAATGGTCTAAGAATTCGATCCATAGCAAATCTTTAATATGTGTTGTGATTATTACTAATAACTAATAAGTAATAATTCACAGGCTTACAACTTCTCTTTATCGCATCCGGCATCCGGGTATTTTTTAGGATGGTAGCGAATTTACCCGACAATATTTATTCCTCTTCTTCTCAGTGAATGTATCAACATGGACGACCAGTCGGGATAGCGATATTGGGGTGGGGATTCAAGCAAGATGAGGCCTGATGCTACCCAGGAAATCAACTTCGTATGGATTTGATTTCATAGAAAAAAAAGATCCAACTCACCCATGACTTCTACTCAATTTTGCAGAGAAGAAGCTGAAAACACCAGCTATCGTCTTCTTTCGAAAACTCTCCAGGGAGGAAAGGAAACATCATAAATGAATTCTTTTTCTTTTATGTTGATGAATATGGGGCTTTTTAATTGCCATTGGGTGGACGACAAATGAGAAGGGAAGGGGGTTTTCACTTTTCAGTTTTCACAATATGAAAGAAAAGTTGACTGGGGAAAAGGAACGAAAGAGAGAGGCAGGTGGGGATGCACGGAAAAAGAGGTGTTGTGGATTGGTGAGGTAGTTTGTATATAAGCCTATTCATGCAAGGAAATTTAAAAGCAACCAACGGTCAGGCTTTCCTTGCCCAATGCACAGAACCCAGACGTACATGAAAACACCCGCATGTGATCATAAAACCCCCTCCGTGAACAGTAAACTCCGACTTTTTCTTAAGGAAAGTAATTTCGATTTATGGTAATTTTTTTGAACTTGGGACTTAATAATTTGATGAATATGGGGCTTTTTAATTGCCATTGGGTGGACGACAAATGAGAAGGGAAGGGGGTTTTCACTTTTCAGTTTTCACAATATGAAAGAAAAGTTGACTGGGGAAAAGGAACGAAAGAGAGAGGAAGGTGGGGATGCACGGAAAAAGAGGTGTTGTGGATTGGTGAGGTAGTTTGTATATAAGCCTATTCATGCAAGGAAATTTAAAAGCAACCAACGGTCAGGCTTTCCTTGCCCAATGCACAGAACCCAGACGTACATGAAAACACCCGCATGTGATCATAAAACCCCCTCCGTGAACAGTAAACTCCGACTTTTTCTTAAGGAACAGTAATTTCGATTTATGGTAATTTTTTTGAACTTGGGACTTAATAATTCTAATTACACGCACATAGATTTCAAATTTGTTATTCTTTCAAATTAACAGCCATACATCCTTACACGAAAGCGAGATTTGTGGACCAAACACCTAAATATTGCCGCCACCAAAATCACACCAAAAACCACCCAGATAAATAGTACCACTAAACCCAACACCAACACAAACCATAAGAAGAAAGATGCCACCTAAATCTCCTTCTCTCCCTAACCTGTACCAAGACAACAACATAAAAATCAAATAAAAAAGCACATAAACTCATAAGCAAACTTACCCAAAAAAAATGGAGAAGATGGCGAGGCAATCAAGAGGGTGCAACGATGGGCTTTTGTGCCTCGACTGACAAACAAAGTAGCTCATACTTAGGCTCATATTAAGGTGGTTTGGGATTCTATGTTTTGTTGGGTTGAAAGGTCTCTAAATTGCATACTCGATGTTGTATCTATTGAGATCAAAGAGAGTTTGGTTGACTTGATGTAATTTCTGCTAATAGCTGCTAACAAAATTATACAGAGGATTGTAAATAAATTAAAAACTTAGCAAAAAAATCTCACGGACGAACATCTCCTAAGGATGATAATCAATTCGGTTTGGTTATAATCGTAATTATGTAACCGGTTCTCGATTAATTGCTTAGCAATTTTTGCTTATCGCGAATCCACCATCTATTTTTTGTTGGCTAACCAAAATTCCGTAATTGATCCTCGATTATTTTTTTTGATTAACCGAATAACCTTTAAATCAATGCTCCGATCAAGTTATACTCTTAAATAAACTCCATCGATAACTGAACCGGTGGCATCATTGTTTCACTTGTTTAATTTTATAGAGTTTGTCACTACAAATGCATTTTTTATGTTATTAAATAATAAAATTTATTTTTTTTAAATGCCCAATAAACTTAATCTTATTATTTCAATTACTTTATTCTTTCTTTTACATTTTCAGCGACTTCCCCTTATCTCTCCGCTCCGCCTATAGGTGTCAATCGGGCGGGTTCGGGCGGGTTTGGCCTGGGTTCAATCGGGTTCGGGTTCAAACGGGTTGTGGGTTAGTCGGGTTGCGGGTTCATCGGGTTCGGGTTCAAACGGGTTGCGGGTTAGTCGGGTTGCGGGTTTATCGGGTTCGGGTTCAATCGGGTTGTGAGCAAATCGGGTTGCAGGTTCATCGGGTTTTGGGTCGGGTGGGTTGCGGGCGGATTGGGTTTTGGGTTGTTCGGGCCAGCGCATCAAGTAACTTAACTCATTACTCATTACCAACTTACACATTTTATTACACTAATTTAAAATATTTTCTCAACTTTTTAACCAATTTATTTCTACCTCGTATATATATACTTTATTTTTTTGAAAAAAACTAGTCAAAATGTTAAATCAATTTGTATGACTTGCAAACTTGTTATGTAATTAATCATAATTGGTAAAGTATTATAGCTAATAGTAATGGTGATATCAATATTTGCAACCAAAAGGCAACATTAATTGTTTATTTGATATTTTAGTATTAATTCAGTAGTAATTGGATTAAAGTATCTCGTTTAGTATAACCATGCAAATCTGGTATTTGGTGTGTGGTATTTGGCAAAAGCATAGTGATAAAAGGAGTTATTTCGAAATAACTCATTGCCCAAATAACTTCAGTAAACTGTTGCCAAACGAGTTATTTGTAAAATTGTTCGAATTATCCTAAAAATTGAACCATTAAAGATTAGCTATCAAATTTAGTAAAATTATTGTTACTTCAATCATAACTTACTCAATAGCATATATCCTATACACTTAGCCTTACCCTCAATCAACAATATTAAGTTAGTATAAATTGTTGATTGTATACCCTAAACCATCAATACATTATACACTAACCACATAACCTATACCCTATACCCTAACCATCTCGTTAGTTTCCATGTCCTGATGCATTCACAGACATATGTTCTTCAAGCTTTTCTATCTTAACGTTCCTTCTTACGAGACATCTTTGCAATCATCCTTGGCCTCCTTGTCTGAATTCTAATCTCTCCAGTTTTATATTATAAATAGCTTCGAAGAAATGTTCTCATGGCGCGATTGTTCCATCGCCTGCTGAAGTTTTTTGTAATCCTCCTTTAAATTATATAATATTATGGAATAGTTTGTATAATTTGTAGTATTTATTTATATAATCTGTATTATTAGTTCTATACTTTTATCACGTAGGAGGGGGAAAATAGGAGACAGATATGTTAGAAACTTTATTCTACAAAACGCGTATCTGGAACTGTTCATCAAAATGTCATCTAATGATTCAAAGTTCATTGATGGATAAAAGGGATTGGATTGGTGATTTCACACTCTTTTGTCTTTCTTTTTACTTTCACGGAATTCAGATGAGAGATGATAGACTTTTCGAACCAGTCAACTGCTACTTTCCTAATCTCTCAACTTTCTTATTCAGTCATATCTTTCATTTTAACTCGAAATTAAAAAAACTCATAGAAATAACGCATTAATTATGATATACACAATGTTATTATTTTTTACATTTTGAGCAAAAAAAAGAGCTCTTCAAAACATGTGTTGGTTGTGACATTATCATTTTTATATCAGCATGATATGACATGATTACATATCTCTTTCGTTTTAAATTAAAAAATTCTACAAAAAGAAACTTATTAATTACGAAATCCAAAATTATATTTCGTTATATTATCACTATGATAAAATCATTATATGATATTAATATGATGAAATTGCTTTTTTTGCTAAAAAATAAGACTTCATACTATCTTATTATCAACACCATACCACTATGATAAAACTTTATAAAACCATCTCATCAATATCATGTCATGATCTTACCACTAAGATAAGACTCACAACACCATCCAACTATTGTCATATCATAAAATGCAAAAGAAAAGAAAAACTATAAAGAAAACTACAAGAGGTCGTTGTAGTAAAAGAATCATCAATGTTTAAGAAATACTTTTTTTTTTACTTAATCACTATATCTCGTCTATAAAGTAAATTGGTATGTGGTTTCATGTTTAGCCTTGTTGCATAAGACAGAAGGAAGAACTTAATCCAACCATTGTTCTACGAGCAAGTAAAAAACGTCATGCTTAGGCTGGCTAGTGTTGCGCCTAATGCTTGGGGTGTTTGAATTTTTATTTTTTATGAAATAAAAATGAATGAGGAACTTGATTATATTTTCTTTCTTAATTAAAAAATGGTCGGCAAAGCTAGTCTTCCTTTTATTTGAAATTTTATTTCATAATTTCAAACAAACCTCTATACCTTCTTCCTCCTTTTCTTATCTTTGCCTCTCCAACTTCGCAACTCCATTTGCACCTGCAGACAAAAATGACTAGTTTCTAGGCCTGTCAGTTTGGGTTTGGGTTTTCGAGTTTAACCGAAACCGAACCGCCAACAACCTTCACGATTTCGGATTTTCCGTTTTAACCCGAAGACGTTGTTGTTCCGGTTTCGGTTAACCGAAATCTGAAACCCGAAAGAAACCCAGAAAACCCGAAATTGATACGCTGGAGTCTGGACACCATTTTTCAATTCGATTTGTTTCTCAAATCTTAACCGAAATTCCTAACCCTTCGACTTCGAGACTTCTCATCCGACTTCCAATCTTTCCCCCACAACCCATCTCTTCGACCAAACCAGTCACTTCTTTGGGAGCTCGAAGATTTGACCGGCAGAAGGGATTGTGGTTGCTGCCATTTTGGGTTCGACGGAGGAGAGGAACTTTGAGACTTCCGAGTTCCGACTTCGCCATCCATCCCTTCGCCAAATCACCTTGTCATTCTTGCCGACGAAATCATCCCTTCGTCTCGAGATCGATCTGGGTTCAAAGCTCGAGCATTGTTCTTCGTCTTCATATCCAATCTTTCCCCAGCAAGGCAGCAACCCATCTCTTCTACTGTCGTCTCTGGTCTCCGGCAGCTATGGAATCCCAACGAGTCGCTTCCGAGGTAAAATTCGACCTACCCATCTGTACTGCTTTTGTTGGCTCGCCATCTAATCCACTATGTTTGTGTTTGGTAGGTTTGGACGCACACTAAGGTTCTAACCTAAGACTTCCACCCTCTATTCCAGTTTCGGCGACCATTTGGACTTCTGGGTTTGTTATCCATTTAGGTTCTAACCTAAAACAGCAGCAAGCTCTCGTTCTTCCCATACCTCACATAAGGCATCCCAGAAAGCTCCTTTTTGTTGCTCTTGATGATATTGCTCCAGAGTCCACTTCCCGTCTTCTTTGTGGGAAACTTTAATTCTGGTTTTGGAGCTTGGATGTATTGTTTGTTGGTTGATGACAATAGAGAGTTTAGGTCCATTGAGAGTCCAACATGATTGTGTGTAATGTGCATTGGATCATTAAAGAATAGAGGAACAGAATCTGGAAATTCCTAGTTGGGTTAACATTGAGGCTCCTCATTGTCATCTGCTTGCATTCTTATTATGCTAATAAGAGAAACAATGGTAGCTAGCTACGTTTGGGTGGAAAGCGCAGCAAGTCTCTTTGGAGTTTCCTATTTATACATCAACGGGTAATCTACAGTTGTTATCGTGAAACAGAAAGAGCCTCATAATGAGAAGCTGATATGAGTTTGTTTCTTTTACTGTTTAGTTTGGTTGCCAAAAAGTGAGATTCCAACTTCTGATTTCCTAATTTCAGCAGTTGCATGGTTAATGAATTGTACTCAACTCACTTTTTCATTTTGGCAGAGAGAGTGAGGCGCCATCGGCTTCTCATTCTAAACGCGGAGGGCACTCTAGGAGTACCGACATTCCTCCTATACCTCATGCACCATCTTCCGATCCTACTCCTGCTCCTGCACCGTCTACCGGTACCACCAATTTACCTCCTGCTCAAACAACAGATGACGAGACAACTTTAATAAAAAAGAAAGGAAAATCTGACGTTTGGCCACACTTCAAGTGTTTTAAGATGGATGGAGTGGACAAAGCTCGATGCAATTAATGCAATGGTGTTCTTATTACTCCCACTAGATTTGGGACTTCTACTCTGCGGCATCATAGAGATAGTTGTTTGGCAAAGATAGAAAGGGGTGAGCTGATAGTCGACCATCTATCATTTTTTGGAGGCCAGGTACACACTTTTGGCACTTGGAAATTCGATCAGATTGATGCTAGGAAGGCTTTAGCTGAGATGATTATTATAGATGAATTGCCATTTAGGTACATTGAACATGAAGGGTTCAAACATTTCATGTCTCGTGTTTTCCCAATGTTTGTGTTACCTAGCCGTCAGACTGTTAGAGGGGATTGTATCGAGGTGTTCTTTGAAAAAAGAGACTTGTTGAAGGACTATTTCAAGACTAAGTGTTTAGGGATGGTATCGCTCACCACTGATACTTGGACTTCTTTGTCCAATCTCAATTATATGTGCATTACTGCTCATTTCATTGGTAGAGATTGGAAGCTTCATAAAAAAATTATTAACTTTGTCCAAGTTACAAAAAATTCTGGAAATGAAATTGGAAAACAGTTTGCTAGTTGTTTGGTGGAGTGGGGCATTAGGAAGGTGTTTTGTATCACAATGGACAATGCTAGTGTTAACGATGTGGTTGCTATCCATATGAGGGAACAGTTGAAAGAGTGGGGATCAGATATTTTGGATGGGAAGTATTTGCAAATGAGGTGTGTGGCTCACATTATTAATTTGGCTGTGAAGGATGGGCTTAAAGAAACTGGTATATCTGTGGAGCGAGTGAGAGAGTCTGTGAAGTGGGTTAAATCTACACCAAGTAGGAGCAGAAAATTCAAAAATTGCATTGAGTTTGAAAAGATAGTGTCGAAGAAATTTGTTTCGTTGGATGTAGCTACAAGGTGGAACTCAACGTATCTGATGTTGGAATCTGCAAAGCCATTCGAGAAAGCATTCCAGACGTTAGCCAGAAATGAGAAAAAATTCAAGAAACATCTCAATGAAAAAAATATGGAAAGGAAAGTGTTGGTATCCCAACTTCTGATGATTGGTCTAGTGTAGGATGGTGGATTGATTACCTGATGCTCTTCTATGATTTGACTGTTCGAGTTTCTGGGACTTCATAAGTGATTTACACCTCTTGTTTGATGAGATATGTGAAATGTATACTATGATTTCCAAGTGGGTTGATAGTACAGATTTTGAGGTGTGTTGCATGGCTGAGAGAATCAAGTCCAAACTTGCCAAGTATTGGTTTGAAGAAGAGTTGGAGAATTCCAAGATGAATCGATTGTGTTATATGACAGTCATATTAGATCCTAGGCGGAAAGTTGAATATCTTGAACAAGCTTTGAAGAAGGTATATGGTGAGAGCAAGGGAAAAGCTTTGGCCGAAGAGCTGAAAGATGAAATGCGTCTTCTGTTTGACCATTACAAGCATAGGCTTGGACTTCATGGTAGTTCTCCTATTGTGATTCAAGAAGATGAGCAAGAACCTAGAGGAAGTGGGGATGGGAAGAAGAAAGGGAAGATTTGGGGTGATTTCAGGAAAATGAAAAGAGAGGCCATTCTGAAAGGAACTAGAAAAAGTTCCAAATCTAAGTTTGATAGGTACCTTGAGGAGGAGGAGGAGGATGATGAGGAGGTTACCCGAGCAGTGGTGGGTTCACAAGAGGATGAACACAAGTTTGACATCTTGGGATGGTGGTCGCGAAGTTGGATGAAATATTCTACTATTTCTGAGTGGGCTAGGGATATTCTTGTTGTTCCTATTTCCACTGTTGCTTCTGAGTCGGCATTCAGCACAGGAGGTCGAATTTTAGATTCGTTTAGGACCTCATTATCCCCTGAAGTTGTGGAAGCTTTGATTTGCTGTGAAGATTGGATAAGATCTTCCGACTCTGAGTTGGTGGCTGATGGAGAAGATGAGGGTGATGAAGTGGTATTTCAAAATGGTAAGGACTTAATCTTTCTCTTTATTCTTATATGTGTTATCTTAATCAAGTCATATTCTAAAAAGTTGTTATTGTTTGTGTTATCCAGTATTTGTAGCTTTTCAAGCTTGGAGTGCAAGTGCACCTCGAGGACCTAGTGGAAGCTCTCATTCTACCCATGGTTTGATCCTGAGTCCTACTAGGTCAGAAGTGGAAGAAGACTATTTCGATGACGCTTCTGATGGGAATGGTGATAATTATGTCGATGTAGAGCCTGATGAGGAGGAGTGATAATGGTAGTAGTGTTTATCTTGTTTATGGTGAATGAACTTTGATTTTACTTGGATATTTGGATGTTATCATTTGAGAATTGTAAAACTAATGTGTTTAATTATGAGTTGATGATAATCCCATCCATAATTATCAGTGATTTTATGTTGAACAAAATTATTGTCTTTATCAATATTCTATCACAAAATTATTTATATTACGCACCATACACCAAAATTATTTAAGAAAATGGTAACTCTCACAGATTTAATTTAAATTTAAATTAAAATTTTTATAATTATTGTGATAGTTGATATACCGCCAATTTTTAATTATAAATTAATAATATATAAATATTAGTTAAATTAACAAGTTAATTCATTAAATACATATATTAAACGTATTATACGAATTTTTCTATACATATGATTCACCACCACATATAATTACATTCAAATGGAATTGAAAAAATACACACAGTCACACTACACACACTTTTAGAATTTGAGGTAAAGAATAAAAGTAGCACGTTAAAAAAAAAATGAACAGATAGAGGTGCATTTTCGGGATTCGGGTTCTTGTACCCACCCGAACCCAATAAGTAGATTTTCGGGTTTCGCTTACCCCAAAACCGAAAGTTTCCTTGTCGGGTTCGAGTTTAGGAAAAATGGGTTTCGGTTTTCGGGCTCAGCAGTTTTCAATTTCGGGTTACCCGAACCGAAACGACAGGTCAACTAGTTTCTCGCTCACCTAGAAAGGGGATTTGGAAATAGAGGAATAAGTTATGGTCGAGACGACAAGGTGAAAATGGTGTTGTTAACACAGAGATGATGATGAGAGTGGTGAAATAGGTGTGGAGGGTTGGTTTTCATTGGTGTTCAAGAGGTTCCAAAGTTCAGTATGGAGTAATGTTTTGGGGTATCTAGTCACACTTACAAGACTGGTCTATAGATGTCATGATATCTTCGATTACATTTGATTTTGAAGTTGTCTCCAACATTTTCATACAATCTACATCAATTAGAGTCATTGACTTCAAAGACTTGGTTGGCATTGATGGTCTCTTTTAGTACATTTTGCATTGTAGTTTTTTTCTTGCCCCCTAAGTAAGTGTTGGGTGAGGAAGCTAGAATTTATCATAGAGTATGTTTTATATATTTTTCCAAACTTGAGCTCCTGCTCCCAAATTACAGCTTTTTCTATACTTTGCATGTTACGGGTGATTTTTTCGCCATGGACCATTAATGATAACCAATTAGTCATTTGGTTTAAGGTTTCCACTGAAAAAGTAAAAGGACTGCCCTATTCGATCAATCCCTCGAGGTTTCCTCTCCTTGGATTACTCTTCGTCGTTCAATCCTTGGTTGAGGAATCTCCGCCGACGATGACGATGTATCCTCACCACTCGCCAGTATCATCAGAAGAGAAAGCGAAACCCTTTTTACCCCAGTGTTGCGTCTTTCAGATTTCAATGTCCATTTGAGATTCCCCTCTATGTGCACTCGCATCGATATGGGATTTCGATTGTCTTCCTGCAGTCGCGTGGATCTGAGACTTTGCTCATCCTGCCGTTGTGTGAATCTAGGACTTCGCTCTTCCTGATGTCATGTCGATGAAAGGTCTGAGGGTCAAGTTTGGAGAATCTTTGGGAGAGATGGGCCAGCTAGAGAAACTTGTCGTGGACAGTGGCGGACCCAGAAATTTCTATTTAGGGGTGCCCCCTTTCAAAAGTTTAATTAAAAATAGTTCTTAAAAAAGTAGAGATAAGATAATATCTAACTACAAGTTATTGAAAAAAACCACGCCGTGTTTTCATTTTCTGAAAAAACTGTAAAACGCACTCAATGTCTACAGTGATCAATAAATTTCTTTCAATATATCCTGCAAGACAATCATTCAAGAACTTATCA